CAGGATTACTGGTGTAAATTAAAAGGATGGGTTCTGATTTTTGAAATACTAATTTGTTTTATCAGAAAATTATTTTTTTTTTTACCAACTTTGATTTTCATATTGACTTGTATGAGGTCTAAGTATGGTAATCAAGTTTGCTTTGCTGAGCCTTGAAGATAATTGGTGCTCTTCTATTTTCTTTCATGATTATTAAGCTCACATGTTGTAGAGTCAGAAGGCCTAGGTTCAAATTCTGGCCCTCCACTTACTTTGCATTGATAGAGTTATTTAATCACTCTCAACCTCCGTTTCTTCATCTGTGAAATGGGATACCTAATTGTGTAGGATTTTTGTGAGGAATAAATAAGATCACACATGTAAAGCATTAGAGCTTGATAAGCGTTAGCTGCTGCTATTATCATTATTACTACTGTTACTACCACTTCCACTTCTGCGGTTGGCAGTAGATGACCTAGAGAGGCATTTGTGGAAGCTTTCTAGTTTGTGCACCACATCTATTTGTCACCTCAGTAGGAAGAAGGAATTATCTTATCAGGCTTCTTACCCTTTTAGTACCTCTGATATCATTCCTATATTTTTCTTATATATACATTTTGTTCTTTTTTTGATTTATGGAGAAATATTTGAGTGCCTACTGTTTGCTGGGCACTTGCCAGCATGTTCCTGCTCCCAGGACCTTTATAGCAGAGTATCTCATTCATTCAAATGTATGTCTTAGAGTGGTCCTTTGACTCCCGTGACCATTACCTTACCCAAGGAATTATTGCCTGCTTTGGAGGGAGACTTAGGCTTGAATCCCAACTAAGCTGCTGATCTCTGCAGAAACCTGTCTGTGCAGTAATTATGGAATTTTCCTTGGTCTTAGTTTTAATCATTAAAACAGGAATAATGCCATCTAACTTATAAGGAGGTATTAATTAAGACAGTATTAATAAAGTACCTAAAATAAAGTCAGGTACTTAGTAGATGCTCAGTAAAAGGTAGTTCTGTTTTTCTACCTTTTCTCCCTTTAGGCTGCCGAGAGAAACTGGCGATGGTGGCTTGAAGCAAATTTGGTTGCTGGTGTTTTTTTGTTTCGTGATAGATTCTTTGCTCTATTATCTGAAATCAGGACATCCCACTTCGACCAATTGTTTTAAGTAAATTTTTTTATTTAAAAAGCTTGTTATTTTGCATTATGTATAGCACAAGAAGATGCAGTGACTGTCCTAAGACGCTAAGGGTTCATTTTCTTATTAACCTGTGATTGGCCCTCATCTTCTTGTGGGCACAAAGTGATGAGTTTTTATTAGTCATTCTCCTTTACGCTTTGCTTCCTGCCATACTCACCACTATAATTTAAATTAAATCTTGGGAGAGCACAAGCTAAGGATGTCAGAAAGCTAGAATACAAATATATTTCGGAGTTAGGAAAAGGACATTAGAGATCTAATCAAACTCTTTCCTTCTTCAGATAAGCAAAGGTTTAGAAGACGAAAGGGCCCAAGCTCACCTGACACACCAATGGTGGAGTTGGGGCTTCCTAGTGTCTAATGCTCATTCTTCTGATTTATGCTGATGTTCATATTTTGGTTATCAGCTCACATTCAATCAAGAAGAGTTGTCACTTAGCAAGGTTTCTATTTTATAGTTAGTTTACTTTCTGGGAAGATAGATAAGTGATTATGATATTTGGCCCAATTAGCAATCAATACGGGTAAAATCAGAGAATGAAATATGGCAATCAAAGCCCTCTTGATCTGACACTTTATCGGGTAGGAAAACCAGGATCGTTTGTGCTGCTGTTCTTATTCCTTGGGTTTATTTATTTGTGTCTGCTCCTCCACCTACTTCCTAGTGGCACACTTACATTTTAGTTTTTTGCTTTTGTTTTTAATTAGAGGTTAAAAATGGTTGGAAAAGATCAGTGAGAGGGAATAAATCAAGAAGGATAAACTTTAGACCCTGAGAACAGAATGTTTACTTGACAAAATATGTGGCTTTTGAACTCTTTGAATTGCCAAAGCATCATAAGAAATAAAACATTATACAAATGTAGTCATTTATAATAATTATAATAAGGTTGGACTATGGGGAAGAATACATATTGGCAAGGGTTGGCAAGAATGTGGTAACTGTGCCATTGAGTCCTGTATCTTGCACTTAAATCATCAGCAATCTGTCCAGACCCTATTCTCTTCTGAATCCATACAGAGCCTGAAAATCCTTCCCAACACATTGTATCTGAGGGTCTATACCAGTTGATCAGAGTTTGTATATTGGTATTTATTTGTCACTCTTGTATTAAATCATGACAAAGTGTAAAAAGGATAGAGGGTTTGTTTTTAATCCTATAAAGCATTACTTGAAAATTTAAAAATTTCATTTAGGATTTTAATTTTAATATATTCCACCAATTAGAAGTCAGGGGTTATCTTAGCAAAAATCTCATGTTTCAGGCAATATGTGGGGGGGGTGGGTAACAAAGTGGCTTTGCTAAAATTCCAGTACCACATTTAGAAACTTACAGGTAAAAAGGAAGCTTCTTTATTTAATGGACACAGCTGTCATAAACCAAAACACATTGTGTAATAATCTTTATCAACTGCTTCTCTTCAATGATCTTGTTATTCAGTGATTGGCAAAATGCAAGTTCTGGAAATTCACAAGGCTGCTTACTGCTTTAGTTGCATTAAAAAAAAAAAAAAAAGCTGAGTACCCCCTACCCCACTACCCATTACAGTTATTTTGGCAAAAGAAAACCTACAATGCTACAGCAGGAAAGGGAAAATGTAAAAACAAACCTTAAGGAAGTAGAAGGAAAGACATATTTTAAACATTTACAAAATTACTTGAAGGAATTCATTTATTCATTGCTTTAGCAAACACATGTGCCTTCTACCTGTCAGGTCCTGTGTGAGGCACAGTGATACAGAGATGTAGGACAAGACTTCTCAACCTGTGTCACCTCATGGCACACCTAGAAAACATAATATTGAAGCAGAAATCATCTGCTAGGGAGTTCCTACCACATCTGTCGTCCTGTGGGCTTAGGAGATAAATATCTTGGCATGCTGTCACCCTATGGAGTTATATACATTGGGAACATTTGATGTAAGATAGAACTTCCTACCCTTGGGAAACTGGCCAAGGACATAGACAAGTTACTAGACACGGAGAATTATTGCCTCCAAGATTGGTTTTGTTATTGGAGATAGTAGAGAAAGTGGCTGGCCTGGTTATGGGTGTGGTTCATAGATTTCAGAACAGAGGACAAATCTAGTAACTGTAGAATGAGTGGAATTTCGTATTAACTTTTTTCTCAAATTTTGCCTCAAATCCACTTTGCTTCCAAAAGAATATGCAATACAAGTTTTGATTTAATTCAGTACTTAAGATGAAGAAGGATAAAAAAAAAAAAAAACAACAGAACAGTATTTTCCTTTTTGTGAACTAGTACTAACCTTTAGAAATTCTGATTCTGACCATGTGTCCTCCTTCTCCTCTATTGACCATGTTGAGTAGATGAAGACGATAAGGAAAGAATCAAGAATAAAAGCGGGAAAGATGTTCTGGAGGGAGTCATACCAGTTCAGAGCAGAATAGCATGTTAAGGCACCTGCTCCCCATCCCCATCTTGATCCTCTCCACACCCCCCCCACCGGAAAAATCCTGTAATACTCCCTGTTTTAAATATTGGATTATAGCCAAATATAACTGTTTTTGGACTCCTGGAGTTACAGAGGTGAAAAAAAATTGGTATTGTAAAACAATTACTTCAGTGAACATTCTGATTATCTACATGGTGGGGTGGGGTCAGGAGAAGTGATCCCTATTTCAGGGAAATAAGACAAGTAGTGTTATGGACGAGATCGGGCGCGTTCAGGGTGGTATGGCTGTAGACGACAAGTAGTGTTATGGAAGGACAGAGGAGAAATGTCAGGTTGATCAAAAAATGCTGTCCAGTGGAGAATGTGCTCTATCAGCCTTAAGGTTCTAGAAGTTAGCTAGGAAAGGGAGAAAGTTTAAAAAAAAGTTTAAAGTTTAAAAAAGGGTGGGGGATAAAATCAGGTGAGCTTTTTTATAAAGCCGAAGCTTTGAGTTAAAAAGTAATGTAAGAGAAAATACAGCTGAAAAGAAGGTTATAGAATTCTGCTTGTCAAATTCCTGTGGAAGCCCCTTTTTCTTTAATATTCTTGCAGTTGTGTCCATGTGTGTACCACCAGTTTTATTCTTGAGGTGGGTCAGAAATCTGTATTACTGCTTCCTAAAATGTTTCATCTCTTACTTTTCACTTATCAAGCCACACTTTAATTTTAGTTATTTCTAGTACTTTTCCTCCGGAAGAATGCCAGAGTAGTTGGGTCGTTGTATATTTTAAGATTACTCACCCACTCTTGAAATACATTTTGTTAAGCCAGGGTTTAGACCAACAGTGTTGACACACTGTCTTCCCTTTAATTTTAATGGCAACAAAATCAAGACTACTTTGCCACTTAGTGGTCTTATAGACCTTGGATAACTACTTTCACATATGGTTTATAAGAAAATATAGCTATTCTGAACAACTATTCTGAATATTGCTATTCTGAGTATTGCTATTCAGTAGCAGTATCTGCTGAATGGCAGTGCAGTACATGACTGCTGGAACAAGTTTGGAAAGTTTTGCCTTGTTACTGCAATCTTAAGTGGCAGACAAAGATTATGAATTTTATTTTACATTTGTTTCATGTTGTTGACTGTATGGAAACTGGTTTTAGTTGCCTCTGCTTTATTAGTAAAAATAATGCTTTATTGAAATAATTATTAGAAATCAAATCACTCTTTGCTGAGCCTTGGCTACTTTTGTGGTTTTGATGTTTTTTAAGTGTTAAAAATAAAATGCAGTAATAATGTGCCTTATACATAGAGGGAGTAAAATTGCCTTTTTGATCTGTGTCCCATTGAAAGCAGCGTATTGTCTCCTTTTATAATTAAAAGCTATTTTAAAAGTGGTTTGTGGCTGTTTGTGTTTACAGGATCGCCCCAGAACATTTGATATGCACTCACTGGAGAGTTCACTCATTGACATTATGAGAGCTGAAAATGATTCCATTAAAGGTAACTTTAAAAATCTAACTATTTGATTTTAGTGAATAGTTAAAATTTTGTGTTATATATATAATCTCATGAGCAGTATGGCAAATATTATGGATTCATATTTTGTATGTAGTCAGCTCCATCAATTTTATACATATACCTCTCTTATTAAAAACTCAAACATATTTGATGGGTATCCACTGTACGCCCATCACAATATCAATTAAGAGAACTGCAAGAGTACTAATTGCTAAGGGTGGGCAGTTAACTAGAAAGACATGAATGCTCAGTGCCTCAAACCTGTATGTCTCTCCACCCATGACAATGACTATACACTAGTAAGAGTTCAAAATGTTGATAGAGTTTTTGGTCTAGTTTCACATTTTAAAAAAATGGCCAATAGTTTCAAAGTTGAGATGAAGTTGTGTTCCGGAAATATTTTCTATGGATCATGTTAAGAAAAAATAGTGCTATTTCTACTTGGATTCTGGTCTCAATTCTAATACTAACTAGGTGTGTTATCTTGAATAAGACATTTCATTTTGACTAGGCCTCAATTTCTTTTCCTTTTTTTTTTTTAAGATTTTATTTATTTTGAGAGAGAGCGTACATGAGCACAAGTGCAGGGAGGGGTAGAGGGAGAGGGAGAAGCAGATTCCATGCTGAGATCCCAGGACCCTGAGGTTATGAACTGAGCTGAAGGCAGATGCTTAGCCGACTAAGCTACCCAGGCACCCCAAGGCCTCAATTTCTAATCTTTATAATTAGGGACTTAGAATCACTGTGGCAGTAAGGGACTTATAATGGGAAGCTTTAAAAATAAAATATAGATGCCTGGGCCCCATTCCAGGTGTGGGGTAGGGCTTGGCATGTTAGTTTTTAATGTCTCATGTGATGCTCATGGGTAACCAGGATTGAGAATTACCAGAGGAGGTATTCTCTAAGGGCCCTTCCAGCTCTGATTTTGTGAAAACTACCCCACAAAATAAAATATTTTTCTGCACAAAAGTCTTTTAATTAGAAAGGAGGGGTTTTTTTTGTTGTTGTTGTTTTTCTTTGCTTGTTTTTTTAAGAAATTTGTAATGTTTGGTCATCCCAGTTGTTTATTCCTTCATTTGTTCATTTGTCCATTCATTTGTCTGTTCATTCATTCATTCATTCATTCGGTGTTTATGATCCTGCTTTGTGCCAGACATAGCTTTGCACTGGGGTCAAAGGTGGCAAAACAGCCTGTGCTTTAAGTGATGACCAGCCTGGCCTGGTTTTCCTTTGAGTTTGGTTTATTACATTACTAATGCAATGAAACTTTTAAGTATTTTTCAACAGACCAACAATGGTAAATTTTTTAATGAGGAGAGCTGTTTGAGGTCTGGAGAGATGAAAAATAATATGTGAAAAAAATATGCATCCAGCTGTTGAGATAACTTTGAAGTAAAAATATTTTGGGAAGATCTTTACTGAATTCCTCATGGAATTCTGATGGGTGCCTCTAATCCAAATACACACTCTGTTTCTGAGGAAAGATGATCTCTCATTCAGAGTCAGCTTTATTTTTGCCATTTCTTAGCACTCTGACTTTGGGTAGTATTTCAGCCTCTTTGACCCTTCTTTTTGTTTTCTCATCAGAAAAGTGAGGGGAGTCTAAGGCCCTTTCTAGCACCAGAAAAACTGCACACTCTTAAAAACTAGCTAAAGGAGAAATTTGAATATGGTCGGTGGATTGATTGTACCAATGTCAGTGTCCTGGTTTGTACTATAGTTATGTAAGATGTCACCACTTGAAGACACTGGGTAAGGGACATATAGGATCTCTCTGTACTGTTTTTTGCAACTTGCCGTGAATCTGCAATTATTTCAAAATTAAAAGCTAAGTACAGAAAAAGTAGTTAAAGATAAAGGACTTTGTTTATTCTTAATGTGTTAGATGCCTTCAGCAACTATCTTTCTTTCTTGCTTTCTTGCTTTCTTGCTTTCTTTTTTTTGGCAGGGGAGCCTCTTATGTACTTGATACTAGGGATAATAAATAATTAGAACTCATTTTCATTATAAGTGCCTATTTCTTTTTATTTCATGATATTTTATTTTATTTATTTTATTTCATGATAAGGGCCTTTCAGAGAAAACACAGTTTATAAACAGTAGCAGATATAAACGATTTATTATGTATTGCTTCTAAGAAGCAAGCCTCTAACTACTAACTTAGGTTAAATATAAGAGTTGCACACATTATTCCAATTAGACTAACAGTAGCATTTCCTGGATTTAGATATAGCCAGGACATCTCTCAGGTTTATTTCTATTTCTTCTCCTAGTTTGCTAAATCATTGTGTAAAGTTCTGCTTTTATTCTATATTCCCTTTTTAATTTCTTCTACCAACTTTTACTTAAATTAAGTTTCTTTAAGCTGATTCTGTAGGGATAATGAAAAGTTAAGTCTGATGACAGAAAACATTAAATCTGATTGGCCTAGTCTGAGAACATAACGGTTTTGTAAAATAGTTATTTATAAAAGGAAGTGTGGCAGAGTGGAAAGGCCATGTGTGTTAGAGTCAGGTAGATCTGGATTTAAACTGCCATTCTGCCACTACAGTTTGTGGTGGTTGTGAGGATCAAATGGTATGATATATCTATGAAATGCAGCCTACTGCGTAGTTATAGAAAACACTCAGTAGTTGGTACAGATTATTACTAAATATCTGTTAAGTCTGTTTTCATGCCTATCAAATGAGAAAGTCAGTTTCTACGTAAACTTAAGTGCCAAAGTGACCTAAGTATATTAAATGAACTTTGTCCCTTTTTTTTTTCTTCAAAGAGCTATAAAGAATTCATAGGTGAGTTCATGGTCCTAAAATGCCACATTATAGTTATGCTTGTTTTTTTAGTAAACGAAGATGATGAACTTTATATCACTGTAGTCTGTCACTACCAAAATGTAGTTTGGCTCAAGGGAATACTTTATTTCTGGTCAAACTCTCCTTTGATTTAGATAGCTATTCGGAAAGCTATGCTTGATTTTAACAGTGATTCTATTGTGAGATTTTGTTTAAAGATGATAACAAAAGTTGAATATCTTAAAAACAACATGTTGTCCTTTTAAAATAAGTATATAAAACCTGCCAATCCATTTTGAAAATAAAAACCCCTCCATGTGCTCTGCTACCTTAGAAATGGAGAACACAGAAAATGGACAATGATTCTGTCAGACTAATAGAATATAATATGCCTCTCAGAAAAAAATTATAAGAATTCAGTTAAAAGAATTAATTTGAGAACTGTTTTAAAAAAGAGCCCATCATAGGGAGGCAAATTTTATATTTGGGTTTATTTTATCTTAAAAATAATTTCATAAAGTATATTATGAATGACCTCATTTATTTTTATCCTTCATTTGCAGTTCCTCATAGAAGTGCGATTTGTTGTATGTGTTCAAATAATAAAGCCTAGAGTTGATACAAGAACTACAAGTTAAATGGATTGATACGGCTATATTATTCATTTAAATTTAAAATGCAAACAGAAAACTGAATTTTGCTTTTCATTTTGGGCAAAAAATAAAAAACAACTCCTTTAATGTAGTGCAGTTTAAAATTTTATTTTTGCAGTCAACAGACAAAATGCTTAATATGCCTAGGAACCTTCAAATATAGCTTTTGAGTTTCTTTATGAATGTGTTATTGATTCCAACTGGCTTGCTGAAAACCTTTCATGTTTTTTTTTTTTTAACATTTTAACAAATGTGCAAAAGGTGTACCTGGGTTTCATTTCATGATTTATATTAGTGTTGCTTACTGTTTAAATAGTTTCTCTAAGAATTTTAAGGCTACTATAATTTTCTCCATATACAGGGGATTAGCTCTTTGGGAGGAAAAGGGTCCTCCCCCTACCATATCTCCATGTCCTTTCTCTGATCAGCTGGCATGTCTGTATGTTATTTTTATCCACAGAATTGTATATTGCCTTCTCCATAACCAATGCCGGTAACTGTCCGCAGAAGCTCTTCCCCCGAGACTGATTTCATTTTCTTTACTGCACACTCAGTCTCATAAGCTAAGAGCCTAAGCTACAGATGGTCAAATGAATTTTGATATCCCAGGTGACAGCTTGCTCATTGCTGCAAAATTATTAGGCTTATCAAGTATTTGCTTCACCTGGCAGAAGAATCTTTTACCATTACAGGTAGTCAGCTGATCATTTGGGGAATATTGTATCTTACTGTTATTTGTGCCTTTGCTTGCCTGTGAAATTGGTACTTACTGTTTAGAAATGGAGCAGCATGAAATACATTAAAACCACATGTGAGTACATCTGTTTTCAGCCTTCTGAAGCACAGGTTGGACACAGTGAAATAAAGATTCATGAAATGGTATTATATTCAGTGTATAGTAGGAAAGACCTCAGAAAATTAAGGAGCCTTTTTTCTTTTCTGCGTGGGAAGGAAATAAAAGACTGTAGATATAAACCAAGAAGTAGCAGTTATGGAGTGGAAGCAGAGGGAGACCACACAGGAATAAAGAGGAAAAAAAAATAGTACTTGAAAATTATCAGATGTCAGATGGAGTAGAACAATCCAGAGTTTCATAATAGTGGTTGAGCATTTTAAATCCTATATATGAAAACAATTTAGTATCCAATGTGCTTCATTTCACTAGAAAGCCAAATGAGACAGCAAAATTATTGAGAGAAAAAAGGCAATCTGTAAATTGTCAAAACATTATAATTGTTCTTCAGATATTAATTAACTGAATTATGAGTCAGAATGTCATCTTATTTTTCCTCAGAATATTGTGAAATTAGAATCTTTTTCTCTTCATATTGTTATAGAATGTATCTTGCTTTCATTTTTTGGAAGAGGGAACTCAACATATTCACCCAACCCCCTTGAGTTTCAGGCATTTTAAACACTTGATTTGAATGTAAGCAATAATGATTGCATTCAGAAATGCAAGTTGTTTCAAGTGCCAGTCTTTTACATATCCCATGGTGCCCAAAAAACCTATTGCATATGGAGAGTAAGTAGTGGG